CCCCCCCCCCCCCCCCCCTCCCTCTCTCTCTCTCTCTCTCTCTCTCTCTCTCTCTGATATGAGGAAAACGGATTATATCGGAAAAGTATATTGGCAATGTAATAGAAACCCCCTCCCTCCCTCTCGCTCTCGAAATTCTCATAGGTTCCTACCCGAACCTATCAATTTTATTTATTGATGGCAGGAATAGACATTAAAAGCTATAGAAAAGATGTTTAGATACAATAAACTTCTTAAGAGAGAGTCCATCAATATGCTTACAAACCTGAAAGTTAAAATTAGATTCTGGATCATCGAAATTGACTTCAAATCCATTGATTTAAACATAATAGTTTCCACTGTCTGATCAATACATATACTCGGAACCCGACACTGATCCAGATATTATACTTGTATATCTCTATCAGTATTCATAGCCTATAGGATATAGATCCATAGTATCTGCATTTGTATCTGATTGGATATAGGTACATATATATCCCTGGACATCTGTATCTGTTGTGCATCCATGCGCCTCCAACTTCTGTTAGTCCTATAGTTTTGATGATGATTTGTCAAACAATTTATCGCTAATCTATTCTCTAGTTTTTGTTGTTTTGTTTCTCTCTTTACAGGTAATTCAACACACGATAATCAAGCGTTAAAGATTCAAGTTCATGTGTGTGCTTTCACCTAGGTATAAGTTTAGTTTGCTTACATATATCGTATGTTTATATGTAAGCTCAATATATGTACACTTAACACAATTTTGACGTTTTCTATCAAATAAATGATTTCTCATCAAACTTCGTTACAATAGTTTGTATTTCATGTTTACAGCTCATTCACACTTGTTTATATATATATAATATATACATGATATATATACGTATTTACAAGTCATATCTCAATTTTCATGTTCACAAAAAAACAGGTTTTTTGAACACTTTTCAAAAACAGGAAATTTTCACAAACGAAAATTGATTTTCCAAAAATTCCTTTTCAAACATGTTTATTTCATCATTTAGAAACTTCCCCAAAGTTTTACTATTTTTGGAATTGATTTGATATTTTTAATGTATTTTCAAAATCAAACCCAAAAACCTGTCATATGTCATGTATCAGTTTGCGGTCGACTGCCACGGTCGACCGCCAGCAGCAAACTTTCATACTATTGGTTTTATGTGCTCGCGACCGTGAATCCATCAGAGACTTTTGCGGTCGACCGCCAGCCTTTAATTTCTATACTCAGCTTTTTGTGCCTCGCGGTCGATCGCGAGATTTTCACGGTCGACCGCTGATCTCATCATTGCCTTTTAACGGCTATTTTCTGCAACGGCTGTCTGAGACTATTTTGGTCTTTTCTAATTGGTTTTGGCTGATATTTTGTGTGGGTATAAATACCCCATTGCTGCTCTCTTTCAAATAACCAAGTTTTGTTTTTAACAAAATCTTAAGTGTGTTTAAAAGAGTTGTTTAAGCTGATTTTATCAGTCTGTTTCAAAAAAAGTTTTCCTACTACAAGAAGAGGATTTTTAATCTCATCATCCACTGTTCTTCTTGTCTATGGAGAAGTTTTCCTAACTCATCTTTTCATATAACTTATAATTTCATTTTCATATCTTAGCTATATTTATTGAGTTACATATTTTTTTATTCACTGTTATCACACACACAATATTGAGCTTAATATCTTCATACTATATAGTGTGGGTTGTTGGGTGTGATTTAGTGAGTGTGAGCTTCATTTGCGTTCTTATTTGTTGTTGAGAACAAACCATTGTATTTAATCTTTATTTGTATCACTTGTAATACACTTGTACACCGAGAGAAGTGTGAGGCGAGAGACGGGGTCGAATCCAATAGGAGTGACGTCGGTTGACGAACCTAGGGAGAGGTTGCATCCGAGCACTTGAGGAGGAGGACACGGGCTAGGTTCCTACACTTAGTGTGTAAAGTGTGATTGCATAGTGTTTGTTGTGTGAGAGTTTTCGATAAACTTGTAAACCGAGTGTGTAGAAGTTCCGACTTCCAAACCGGATTGTGATAGTGGAGATCTCCTCGAGGTGAGGAGCGGGGACGTAGGTCGTGGTGACCGAACCCCGTAAACATATCGTTTGTTTGTGTTTTGCTTAGCGTACTTTTTATTTGTGCTTATTCACATCTTTCTTGCTCATATCTATATCATTCGTGCAAGAACTAATTAATCAACATTATTTTAATTGGCTTTTAATCGGATTAGATTAGCATAAGACCCTAATCACCCCCCCCCCTCTAGGGTCTAACAACTTCCACCTAGATTTTGTTGTTAATTTGTAACAAATTTCTAAATGCTACTTTTATATGAAAAATTTTGTTTTGGTAAAACAAAGACATTTCCTAGATCTAACCAAGTCGTCATTCTTTTTCACCGTAGTGGAAGACTACATTTGATACGGGTGTATCTTCTCTTCGGAACTTAGTGATCCTCATGCGAGCTTGAGGATAGATGATTCTCATGATAGCATGAGAATAGAGGTGTAAAACAACATAGGGGAACGCAGGTTGAAGCGTGAAACGAGATGGAGAATCGAAGAATCGAAGAACAAGTTTTCAGGCCGTGAGTCGACTCGTACATATACATGAGTCAACTCATCAGGTTGAGTCGGCTCATGCCTGTCATGAGTCGACTTACGAAACACGGCTGTTTGTCACAAGTCTCTAACGAGTCGACTCATCTCAGTCATGAGTCGACTCATTGTTGGTTTTGTGTTTTGTCTAGTTTCGGATGAGTCGACTCATCTCAGTCATGAGTCGACTCATCGATGGTTTCCTGATTCGTTTGGGTTTCTGTTTGCACGAATTCATGTGGGGTTTGGACTTGGTTATTTATCACTTTGTCACCTACGTTGTTATACCTATAAAAGGGGTTGTTTAGGGTTTCTACTCAATCAGATGTAATCAAAGTGAGATTCTAATCAAGAGAGATTAGGGTTTAGAGAGAATTGAGAGCTTGTTCTTGATTCTAGTGAGATTATGAGAGAGAGATTGTAATATTTTCATACTCATAATCTAGAAAGGGTATTTTTCTTCGCCACATACTGAATTGTTCTTGTGTTTCTGTCATTCTCTTCTCAACCCACATTTGATAATTTCGCGATCAAAGGTGCTCGCACGGCGACTCGTATCAACCTTACCTGGACCTAATCACTTAACTGGGTTTACTAGAGGTCCATACAGCTATATTTCTCTGGGCTTTAACCATAAATTAAAGGAGAAGGGAACAAAATGAACAAGAGATACAGTTGGTGAACGTAAAGTTATAGCAATGACCATGTACCTTGGGCTTTGGCTTTCTTCTCCCTTCTTTGGCTTGCATATGTACGTCCATGATATGTGAACATGAGGATATAGGATATGAATTGTCAGCATTTATCCTTGTATTCAGCTAACCCTATTTGAACTTTGATTGAGATTTGACTTCGATTGCAAAGAAACAAATAGAATTCCAATTAAAAGAAGATTGGAATTTGATAATCCAAGCTAAAGAACGAATCCTACATGAGTTCAATCTAGGGAATAAAACTCCTTAAATACCGCTGGGGAGCTTCATGGTAAATCAAGCTATCCAAAGTTTACATAATTGTAAGGGAGGTTCAACTGGGTGTAGAGAAGAAACAAAGTTGTAATCCTAATGTTTAGTACGCCTTTTGGGAGATCAAGAAGAGGACTCTTGTGAAATCAAGAAAGACATCTTGTAATACCTAGTAATAAAGTCGACTCTTTTCTCTTCCCGTGGACATAGACGTAGGCCGAACCAAGTTAAATCGCTATTTTTGTGTTAGATTCTATTCTCTGCAAAATTATCGATGTTTAATTCGGCCTGTTTCAGATTTGCTCATCGAGTTTGCTCTTTACTGCTGGATTGATAGTCTCTTTTGACGGGATAGATCTAATTGATAGATCGTGTTACACTTCTACATCTTGACCAATTTCACAACAATTGGTATCAAAATAAGATAAGTTAGCATTAGAGCTCATTTTGAAAGTGAAATAATCTAGTCACATGACAAAGGAAGAATACTCTAGGATGAAGGTTGAGGTTGAGAAATTCAACGGAAAGATAAATTTATAACTTCAACTAAAAAGAATGGAGACTTCGTCAGATCTAGGCCGAGCCCCGCTAGAAAAAAAAAGATCCAAAGCCAGAAAAAATGAAACAATATGATTGGTTAAATTGATTAATATTGTACGCAACTTGATTCAACTATCCCTATCTGATAAAGGAAACGATAATAGGTCTAGAGAAAAAGCTCAAATCACTACACATAACTAAGAACCTATCCACCAAGTTTTATGATAAGCAACAATCATACAGATTGCACATGAGGAAGGTACAACAATTTCGGAGCATTTGAACCTCCTCAACAGGATCATACCTGAGTTAGTAGTGACTGCAGTGGAGCTCCCTATCTGATAAAGGAAACGATAATAGGTCTAGAGAAAAAGCTCAAATCACTGCACATAACTAAGAACCTATCCACCAAGTTTTATGATAAGCAACAATCATACAGATTGCACATGAGGAAGGTACAACAATTTCGGAGCATTTGAACCTCCTCAACAGGATCATACACGAGTTAGTAGTGACTGCAGTGGAGCTGGTAGATGATGATAGAGCGACAATTCTCTAGCATTCTCATCCCCAACAGTTATAAAATTTTGATTGCATTATTGCCTATAAGTAAGGAGACTAACCATAGATAGGTAAAAGCAAAGCTTTTAACTTAAGAACTTTAGAGAAATTCAGATATTGGGAACAAATCAGATAGGAGATTGACGGCAAATGGAAGCGAGAATAAGTATTAAATAGGATGAAGCCAAATGCCAAAAAATTTCACTTTTTGTCAAGGAAAGGGTCATTTTAAGAAGGATTGTTTGCAAAGGCACATGTAGTTGAAGAATCAAAAGGCACATGATAGGGCTACGGGTCATTCATCTTATGCAGATGGTATGAGCAAGGTGAACAAACTAAAGTTTTGATGGACTCTGATGTTAGGGGAAAAAACAAGCAGATGTGTTAATGATTTCCAATAAGAACACTTATTACGGCTCTTAGGTATTAGATTCCGGTTCAGAATAACATATTTTATTCCTTGACATGGGGAGTCAAAGAGATTGTTTTCATGGCAAATGGCACAAAGTGCAAGGTTGTGGGAACTGGGAAGAGGAGTGGTAAGAGGTGGGGACATGCTTGCTTTGGAAGATGTTCGGTTATTTTAAAAAGTCATCATAGTCTAATATCATTAGGGGTGCTTGATTCGAACACCACCATAGATCGAGGAATGAATGTCATCGTAGATAAAAAGAAGTGTGGAGATTGTTTCTACATGTTGTTGAGGGAAGCAATATTTAAGGTGGAGCTTCATCTTCAATGGGGTATTTGGCCACGAGGAAGACAAGTTCGCACCAACCTTGGATTCCTAAAGGAATTTTATATAGGGATTCAATATCAGGTAGAGTTGTGTTAAAGCCTACAATAGGCTCAGAACCAACCTTGAATTGTTGTAAGAAAGGAATCATTAACTGGGTTTGGTGTCAAGTCAGGAGAGGACTTGGCATCAATCAAAAAGCAACGGTAGTTCCTATTGAGACCTTCGGAGAGTGAGTAGAAGGTAAGAGTCCTTTGTCATGTATCTCTACAAAGGACAACTTATAATGCAAAATGTTGCAAAGAAGGAACAATCAATTTTCAAAACTAACTTCAAACAAGTTTAAGGCGAGATTGTCAGGATTTATCTTTATAATCAGCTAATGCTATTTCGACTTAGATTTAGATTTGGCTTTTAATGGAAAATATCATTTCAATTAGGATTGAATGCAATTGAAAGAGGATTAGGATTTAATAATCCAAGTAGGAGATAATGGAAAACTCTATAAATAACTCTTGAGAGATTCGTGGTAAATCAAGCGATCAAAAAAAGCATGCACATATAGTAAGGGAGTTGAATGGTGTTAAATAGTACAGAGAGGAATTAGATAAAAGGAGATCATTGCTTTGTAGCCTCTCCTCATCTATTTATTTTAATACAATGATAGCACAGTTATGTCCTTAACAGATGTGGGACTAAACCCAATAGTCTCTTAACACTCTCCCTCAAACTAGAGCGTATACATCATACATGCCCAGTTTGTCACAAATAAAATCTATTCGTATTTTACCTAGTGGTTTAGTAAAAATATCAGCTAGCTGATATCCCGTTGACACATGTTTTACTTCAATGATCTTCTCCATAAGTTTCTCACAAATTATATGGCAATCAACTTCAATATGCTTGGTTCTCACATGAAATACAAAATTCTCAGCAATATGGATTGCCGCCTAATTGTCTCCATATAAGCTCATAGGACATTTAGGAAGAGTTTAATTTCTATCAGTAAATCTCTGATCCATATCATTTCTAATGTTACATTCGTTATGGCCTTATATTCTAACTCTGCACTTGATCGGAATACTTTACTTTGCTTCTTATTCTTCCATGATATAAGATTTCCTCCAAGAAAGACACAATAACATGTGGTCGATCTTCTATCAGAAGGACACCCAGCCCAATCTGTATCAGAAAAGCCTGTCACCTTTATGTGTCTCTGGTCTGTGTAGAGAAGTCCTCTTCTAGGAGCTTTCTTTAAATATCTCAAAATCCGCATTACGACATCAAAATGAGTAGTTCTCGGTGCTGATAGAAATTGGCTTACTACACTGACAGCAAATGTGATGTCAGGTCTGATTACCGTCAAATAGTTTAATTTGCACACCAATCTCCTGTATCTCCCCCACATCCTCAAGGAGCTCCCCCTGGTCTGGTAGCAGTTTTGTGTTCACATCCATTGGAGAGTCAATACTCCTACATCCCAACATTCCAGCTTCTGATAGCATATCAAGAACGTATTTCCTTTATGACAGTAAAATACCCTTCTTTGATCGGGTCACTTCTATATCTAGGAAGTACTTAAGAGAACCAATGTCCTTAGTTTGAAAGTGCGTCTACAGATATTTCTTCAGGCTATCCATACCATGTGCATCATCCCATGTGATCACAATATCATCCACATACACAACTAGTAGTATCATTTTGCCATCGTGCATCGGCCAGAAGACAGAATGATCTTTTTCTGCACGACTGAGGCCAAACTCTCGAAGTACGGAGGCAAAACGATCAAACCAGGCACGAGAAAACTGTTTCAAGCCATATAGTGATTTCTTTAATCTGCAGACTTTCGTAGACCCCCCCTGAACAACAAAGCCTGGCGGTTACTCCATATAGACTTCTTCTAAAATGTCATGAAGGAAAGCATTTTTAATATCTAGCTGATGAAGAGGCCAGTGATGGATTGCAGCCAAAAATATGAAAATGCAAACAAAAGTCATTTTGTCCACAGGAGAGAAGGTATCTACATAGTCCAAGCCATAAACCCGTGAGAAACCCTTTGCTACCAAATGAGCTTTTAATCTAGCAAGAGACCCATCAGGATTGAGCTTAATAATATACACCCATTTGCAGCCAACTGCGATTTTGCCAGGTGGTAAAGGAACCAAATCTCATGTCTCATTTTTAGTAAGGGCAGTCATTTCTTCCTGCATTGCCTGAGTCCAACCTGGAATAGATAGAGCTTCTAACACATTTCTGGGAATCGAATGAGTCCAAAGAAGAAATAAAAGATCAAAAAGAAGAAGAGAGATAAGAGTAAGAAACAAAATTAGAGACAGGATGATGAGTACAAGACCGTTTACCCTTACGAAGAACAATAGGGCGATCAAGATCTAAATCAGAAGGAGCGAGAGGACTAGAGCTAAGCACAGGACTTGAATTCCAAGGCTGGCGTTGGCATAGGAGCATGAGTGGTGCGACGTGTATAGACCTGTAATGGTTCCTGAAATCTCAGTGGGTTCTTACCAGTATCGTTCATTAGTGGCACAATACCATTAGGTATGAAGGTATCATGTAGGAGCAGGTAGTCATAGTCATCAATAGATGAAGGGGGAGATGAAGAGTGACCAGGTAGGTGTTCAAAGAAGGTAACGTCAGCAGAGGTGAGATAGCGGTTAAGAGAGGGACAGAAATATTTGTAACCTTTTTGAGTTCGAGAATAGCCAAGAAAAATACCTTTGATTGATCGATGATCAAGTTTAGTTTTCGTAGGACTTTGGTTATAAACAAAGCATAGAGAGCCAAAAAAATTTAGGGGTAAGGTATAGATCAGAAGTGGAATATAAGACACTGTAGGGAATCTTATTGTATAATACAAAGGATGGCATTCGATTAATTAAATAGCAGGCAGTTAAAACAGCTTCCCCCCAAAATTCTTTTGGAACATGTCGATGAAATAATAAGGACCGAGCAGTATCAAGAAGATGTCTATTCTTACGTTCAACAACCTCATTTTGTTGAGGAGTGTAAACGCAAGAGGATTGATGTAAAATACCATGATGAGCAAGAAAATTGACAAATAGGGTTTCCAAATATTCTTTTGCGTTATCTGAGCGTAAGGTTTTAATATAGGTATTGCACTGAGTCTGGATTTCTAAGTAAAATATTTTGAAAATAGAAAACACTTCAGACCGAGATTTCAAAAGATAAATCCATGTAACATGTGAAAAATCATCTACAAAGCTAACAAAATATTTAAATCTTATTTTTGAAGTTATTGGACATGGACCCAATACATCAGAATGAACCAAATCAAATGGCTTAGTAGCTCGGTTATTGACTCGATTAGGAAATGACACACGATGGTGTTTTCCAAACTGACACGATTCACAATCTAAGGTGGAAATACTCTTTAAAGAGGGCATAATCATTTTGAGTACAGGTAGAGATGGATGACCAAACCGACAGTGGTAATCAAGTGCAGATGAAGTACTGGTACAAGCCACATGATCCGAAGCCAACTCTAGCTCATACAGACCGTTTCGCTCACGTCCTGTACCAATCGTCTTCCTCGTTACAAAATCCTGAAATAAACAATGAGTAGGAAAGAATGTCACTGTACAGTTTTAAGAGTTTCGTAATTTGACTAACAGATAAAAGATTGTAAGGAAAACGAGGCTGATAAAAAATAGATGACAAAGGAAGTTTAGAAGTAGGAATGGTCTTGCCAATGCCCTTAATCGTTGTGTGTGATCCATCAGCTAGAATGACATAGTTAGAAGCAGGAGAGAAAGATAACAAAATATTACGGTTTCTAGTCATATGATGAGTAGCTCTTGAATCTATAATTCATGTATTAGACGAAGACGATGTAAGAGAAGATATACATGCACGGCAAGAGCAGCTGAGAAGGAGGAAGACTGTGTCTGTGAATTCTGGTATTGCTGAAATATCTAGAACTGCTCAAATTGACGTTAAAGCTGCTTATCATTGAAGGCAGATGTAGATTGTTGCTCGGTTTCAATAGATGCGTCCTGAGATGTCTGAGATGTCATATAGGCACCACTTTTTGCCTTTTACTTCTCAAGTTTTGGGTAGTTGTATTTGATGTGACCAGGCTGATGACAGTAATTACAAGTCATAGAAATATCCTCGGGCGGATATCGTCGGAGAAAACCTCCTCGTCGGCCTCTGTGACCTCTATTGCCATCATAGCCACCTCTGGTCTCTGAATACCCACGGCCTCTACCACGGCCGACAAAATGTCCACCACGACTAGATGGAGACAAGACCTGAGTGGCTAGAGCTGATCATTCCGAGTTGGCTAATGGAGCTGTAGGTGATGCAGGAACATAATTTTTAAGTAAATGATAGGTTTCAGGAAGAGAGCTTACAGCAGAACTACCATAATCTGGGGCCTGGCCGAGGAATGAACTGAATCAAGTCCGCCCAAATATATGAGCACCATCAAACGGTTCCATTGATTCTGCATTTGTTGGACGTCAGAAGTGATTGGAAATATATGTCGAAGTTCCTCAGCGAGACGATTGAACTCTCCATAATAGTCATCAAAGGATGTACCATCCTGTTTCTTGCGAAACAGAGCCTGAATCACATCATAAACTCGGGTGATGTTGTTGCTTCAGCCATAGAGAGATCATAGAAAGTTCCATAGTTCCTTGACAGTAGTACAATGTAAAACAAGGTCTTGTACCTTTGGCTCCATGGTAGTAAAGATCTGATGAAGGAGAACATTATCCTCCAATGTCCAAGCATCTGTCGGCGGAATAGGAGGGTCGGACAACAAATGACTGATCTTGACACGACTTGCCACATAGATTTCAACAACTCGTTTCCACTGCAGGTAGTTGTTGCCATCTAACTTCTGATCTGTAATTTTTCCAGCAAAGATCTCTGAAACTTTCGTCTGGACCAATGGTTCTGCAATCTTGTTCTCATCCGAACTGGCCATCATGAAACAGACTAATACAATAGGAACCCTCCTTAAGACAGATGTCAAAACCAATCAGATACACAAATCAAGACATCTAGATCAAACTAGATCTCCAAAGGGAAAAGGAGGGCGGCGGCATGAAGGTGTGTCGTCGAGGTCTGGAGATGGTTGACGTTAGGATCTGGTCGAGAGCGCTTACGGCAGGTAGAGCGACAGGTAGAAGAAGACGAAGGCGCAGGGCAAGTGAAAGCGACTGGATGGACAAAGGAAGAAGACGAAGGAAGAAGACGAAGGCTTCAATCATGGTCAACAGATCTGGATCATGGAGGCGGGCTTCGATCTTGGTGCCGACGGGCTTCGATCTGGTCGTTGGAGGAAGGAGATGTGGGATCTGGATTTGGCTGTGATCGGGATTTGGCTGATGGTGACGGCTGGTTTTTTTTGGGTGGAGGCTAGAGTTATGATTTAGAATTTGCCAGCTCTGATACCATGTTAAATAGTACATAGAGGAATTAGATAAAAGGAGATCATTGCTTTGTAGCCTCTCCTCGTCTATTTATATTAATACAATGATAGCACAATTATGTTCTTAACAGATGTGGGACTAAACCCAATAGCCTCTTAACAAATAGAATGTAGAGAAGAAACAAAGGTGTAATTCTAAAATTTAGAAAGTGTCTTTTATGAGATCAAGAAGAGAATATTTATGAGATCAACAAAGAGAATATGTTATAAACTCTGATAACGAAGTCAACTCATTTCTCTTCCCATAGACGTACGCGTAGGGTGTTATATCGCAGTATTTGCGTTTAATTCTACTATTCTTCGATATTGTTCTTTTAGGTTTGTTTCGGATTTTCACTTCAAGTTCTCTTTGCTACTAGATTGATTGCCTCTTTTAATAGATCATTAGTAGATCAAACAAAGCTTCCGCATCTTTGTTGATTTCACAATAAATTATCGCCTTAATTAGTAAAATGAGCTACAAAGAGATAAGAACAATAATATCACACTTTCTTGTATGACTAGTAGGGTGAACTTCGTCACTAATTTATCTCTTAGTAGTTAATCTGGGAAAATGAGTAGATATGACTAGTAGGGCGAGCTTCGTCACTAGCTCATCTCTAGGTAATTCATTTGAAAAAAAAAGTATGAGATGGCAACTAATAATAGTAGCAAGATCTACTTTTAATTACTCACCAAGGGGTACCCAAGTAGCTAAGATCGCAAGTCTTTTCTTGCTCTGAAGGCCGCATACCTGGGATGGTCTCCCTACTAATCTAGGGAGTAGGTGGCATTAAGATAGGAGCCACTCTCCATAGGTTTTATGGCTAGAGCAGTGATCGAAATCGAGTTTGCTCCCTAGGATTGGATGCCTTAACAGTGCACTTCCTCATTACAAAAAGGGGAAAAAAAGATATACTATCAGTTTATTAACCATTTGACTACTTGGAGATTAATGCTAAACAAATTCCTAAAATTATGTGATCTCTAGGTTACCCAGGCAATGGGTATTGGGTGTCCTACCCCTGTCAAACAAGGATTTGCCATAGTCACGTGTTGTTCAAAGGAAAATCTGATTTACGCATTACTTACAACTCTAAACTAGTTTCTTTGGTATATCAGGCTCAAAACTAATAGGCTTTCAAACTCGAAAACTGAAACTCGTTATTTAAATATTTAAATAATACCTAGTTTATCCAATGCGATCAAACTAAGCTTTTGTTGTTAGACATTAATTCTTAGCTGGGTTAATTGCAAACAAACCTCCAGTAGTATCACCCAAATGCAAAGAGACCCCCTGTAGATATACTTGTTGCAAATAGACCCCCTATAGGTCTACTTGTTGCAAATAGACTCTTGACTAGGTTTTTTTTTACTCTTAAATTCATTAAAATGTTTAAGGAGATGAATAGAGCCCTTATAGTTCTACAGGTGAGGATACACACCCAATTGCTTCTTCTTTTTTTATCTTTAAAAGAGTCAAAAAAGTTCACTACGAGGGTGTATTCGCACTTGGAGCAATACTGCTAATGAGGACAAGAAATGGCAAAATTTGATTAGTTGATATATTTTTGAATTTTGAATTTTAAATTTTGAATTTTAAAATTTGAATTTTGAATTTTGAATTTTGAATTTTGAAATTTAGTTTAATTTTAGTTGAGTGATTTGAGGGATTTTTGAATTTTGAATTTTGAAATTTAGTTTAATTTTAGTTGAGTGATTTGAGGGATTGTTGTTTGTTTCTATTTTTATTGCACGTTGTGTGCACGTAGTTTTTTTTTATAAATAAGGTTGTATGAGACTATTGAAAATGAATGGATTATTAAAAATTGAAATGAAATTTAAGTTGGCTTAATTTGGGTGTGAAACCTAGGCATCGGGTGTGAAACCCTAAGCCAATACATGTTCCTCTTCTTCTAGCTGTCAAACATTTATCTTCTCCCGTTCATCTATTCATCTCACAGCCTCGCTGCCCCCACCCCTTCTCTTCCACAAGCTACCGATCTATCCCTGCTCTCCTTACCTTCGAGCAGCCGACGTTCCCGCCTCCATAAGCCGTCAGAACCACCTCAACAGTCGTTGATTTTCCTCTATCCTCCTCCACTCTTCGAGCCGCCGTTTATTTCGTCTTGATGCCGCTGCCAACCTCGTCTCGACGCTCGCCACCTGCATCGACCCGACGACTACCCGTGGGACATCGCACCACCCTCATCTCGTCGTCGCGTCGTCATCAGTTCAACACTGTCGCACTCGTCGTCATCGGATCTCCGCCTCATCATCGTCGTTCAGTTCACTGTTGTCGTCGCACCACCTCCAGAGGTCTCTCACGTCAAGTTTGTTCAGACCGACGAAGGTTTCGTTTTCTTTCGTTCCTTTTTATTTTTCTGTCAATCTCATTTTGTTAGTTAATTGCATGAGTATATTACCTCTAAACTCTTATCATATATTCACTGTTTAAAGTATAATTGTGAGTTGAGAGTAACTGAACAATATTACCTCTAAACTCTTATCATATATTCACTGTTTAAAGTATAATTGTGAGTTGAGAGTAACTGAACAAGTGATTGTTAAAACTTGATGTTGATTGTAAAACTTGTGCAATGATAATGAACATTGCAATTAAATTGATCAAGATTGGAATTGTTCATAATTGTTGATGCAAATCTTATTAAAATCCATCTGTCACATTAATTATTTTTAATTTAACTTCCTACCGAATATTATGAATTTTAACGAAACGGTGCGTTGTTTAAATTAGATCGCTGATTCCGATAGACCCCCTCCCCCGTTTCGCATCATTTTTGATATCAAAGCATGGTTCTAGGATAGGAATTTTTTTTATTTTTTTGAGTCTTTTAATTGATAAAAAAATCATTCATCTCATTTAGTTGTTAGTACTTGTCACTCGCACATATCTACCATATCAATTAAAAAATCAAGTGAGTCAACTAGTGAGTCAAGCATGTCAGGCAGTGTAGAGTCCGAACTCCTTAAGAAATTCGGTGAACTAGCAGCACGATTTGACGACACCAATGAAAGGCTTGCTAGGCTCGCAGAAGCGCGCGTTACAACTCCGCCACGAGGTCAAGGCTATGGATACCCACTGCAAGGTCATGGGTACATCGTTCATCGACCCCCACCTCAACTTGTGCCTGATTCACCAACCTTTGATGGTAAGCTCGATCCAGAAACTTTCTTTGACTGGCTGAAAAGCATGGATCGCTACTTCGATTGGTACACCCTGACGAAATCCCAGAAAGTCAAGTTTACCACAATGAAGCTCACCGGAACCGCCTGTCAATATTGATCCAACTTTGAATTGATAAGGCATATTAGAGGTGAGTTACCAATTTTTACTTAGCGAGAAATGGCCGACGAACTGAAACGGAAATATCTTCCGCCATCATTTATTCATAGATTGCTAGATAAGTGGCATTATCTTACGTAGAGAACCAAATCTGCAAAAGAGTATGTTGCTCAAATTGATGAATTGTTTACTCGATACAGCACCATTGAACAAGAGGCACCAATGAAAGTCTTGTCAAAGTTTAGAGCCAGATTGAGAAGTGACCTTCAAACCGAACTCTTTGCTCGAGGAGTAGACACCCTTGAGTAGTTCAATATTTAGATGAAGCCAAATTCCACCAATCTCATAGAGGTCAGGATTTTCGAACTCATTCCTCCCAGTCTTCTCGTGCCACTACCCCTAGTCAGCCTCCGAGTCAATTTAGCCCTAGTTATTCCCAGTCTAGAGTCGATCCCAAGGGCCAGAAATCATAAAGAGATCTCTCTAAACTTAGCCCAATAATTCAGTGTTACAATTGTCAAGGATATGGGCACGTTGCTACTGTCTGTACAACTCCGTTCAGAGTTAGAATCAATAAGCCGCCTATAACGGAATCAAAATCCATTATTGAGGAAACCGTTAACCAGGCCGTAGATTTGACAGAATCTAAATCTGACAAGAAAATTCAGGATAGTACAATCGAAGAATCATGCACTTCCGTTCCTTCTGAAACTACCCCTGTAATTATGGAGTTAAATAAAGTTTCATGCAATGACAACACTTCGACTATTCCCCAAGCTACCCCTTTGATCACGGAGTCCACTGATGTTATCCCTGAAGTTGTTCTTAAAATTGAAACTTCAACTCCTCCTGAACTAACCCCCGTGACTGAAAACGTTGTTGGTATTCTCCACGAAGTCCTCCCGGACAAACATGATACCCAACACATTCCTGATTTGGTTCTTGAAGCAATTCACTCAGATATTTGTATGGGAGTTAAAACTCAAACTGAGCATAGTGAAATAACTATCATATTAGATGTCAAACCCCCATGTATTATCCCGATAGTCACTCACACATACACTGATTCATTTTGGGAATATATAGTGATTAGGGACACAAATTTGAGCACGAGTGTTTTCATTTCCTTTCTCTCTCAAGTTGAGTGCACAAAAACACTCCTCATTCACGCATTTATTTGCATGTTCCTCACTATCACTGCTAGAATCAAAAAAATTTATGCATCTTAACAAAGGAACATTTAATTATTCCATTTGATAGAGGACGTCATGCATACTAGACACTTCGTTGAGTTTAAATCTGCCATTGATAGCATTGTTCGAGTCTGCATTTCATACATAGTCATTTGAGTGATTTGCATCATTTTGTTTTGATTTGCATTGATCATATATTGGTAATCAGTGATCTAACTTGAATAAATACATTGTTAACTGAAATGAATGATATGAAGTCAGGACATAATTTAAAACTGTTAATGATGACAATTGAGATGGTTTGGACTTGTCCAATACAGTTTATTTATAGTTGTTTAAGATTTTACATGATATTTATAATTTTTTCCAACTCTTGAAATGATTAATGACAACATTTATTGATTTGGTCATAGTTCTATTTTCAATATTGAGTGATTAAACAGTCACAATGTTATTGACAGTCCACTAATATAAGCCTGACCCTAGCCTATTATTTCTGAGAGTTCTTTCACCTTACCCCCACTTCTATATATTCACCCAAGCTGCAGTGAATTTTGATAATATTTTAGATGGTGAATTTACAATGCAATTTAACTAATGGTTTGAGATGCAAAAAAATAACTGACGGCAGATTAAGATGCAGACAGAGTATATTAAAGATGGCAAGTTTCTGCAGCTAACTCGACGGAGTCGAGTTTTCTCCCACCCGGGGAGAATAATGAGGACAAGAAATGGCAAAATTTAATTAGTTGATATATTTTTGAATTTTGAATTTTGAATTTTGAATTTTAAAATTTGAATTTTGAATTTTGAATTTTGAATTTTGAATTTTGAATTTTGAAATTTAGTTTAATTTTAGTTGAGTGATTTGAGGGATTGTTGTTTGTTTCTATTTTTATTGCACGTTGTGTGCACGTAGTTTTTTTTTATAAATAAGGTTGTATGAGACTATTGAAAATGAATGGATTATTGAATATTGAAATGAAATTTGAGTTGGCTTAATTTGGGTGTGAAACCTAGGCCTCGGGTGTGAAACCCTAGGCCAATACATGTTCCTCTTCTTCTAGCTGTCAAACATTTATCTTCTCACGTTCATCTGTTCATCTCACAGCCTCGCTGCCCCCACCCCTTCTCTTCCACAAGCTACCGATCTATCCCTGCTCTCCTTACCTTCGAGCACCCGTCGTTCCCGCCTCCATAAGCCGTCAGAACCACCTTAACAGTCGTTGATTTTCCTCCGTCCTCCTCCACTCTTCGAGTCGCCGTTTATTTCGTCTTGACGCCGCTTCCAGCCTCGTCCCGACGCCCGCCACCTGCATCGACCCGACGACTACCCGTGGGACATCGCACCACACTCATCTCGTCGCCGCGTCGTCATCAGTTCAACACCGTCGCACTCGTCGTCATCGGATCTCCGCCTCATCATTGTCGTTCAGTTCACCGTTGTCGTCGCACCACCTCCAGAGATCTCTCACGTCGAGTTTGTTCAGACCGACGAAGGTTTCGTTTTCTTTCGTTCCTCTTTATTTTTCGGTCAATCTCATTTTGTTAGTTAATTGCATGAGTATATTACCTCTAAACTCTTATCATATATTCACTGTTTAAAGTATAATTGTGAGTTGAGAGTAACTGAACATGTGATTGTTAAAACTTGATATTGATTGTAAAACTTGTGCAATGATAATGAATGTTGCAATTAAATTGATCGAGATTGGAATTGTTCATAATTATCGATGCAAATCTTATTAAAATCCATCTGTCACATTAATTGTTTTTAAATTAATTTCCTACCGAATATTATGAATTTTGGCGAAACGGTGCGTTGTTTAAATTAGACCGCTGATTCCGATAGACCCCTTCCCCCGTTTCGCATCAATTGTAGAGGGTCTAATCCCAACAAGTAGCACTATAGGGGGTCTATTTGCAACAAATAGAACTACATGGGGTCCCATCAAAATTAGGTAATACTATTACTTGGTTTGTTCGCAATTAACCCTTCTTAGTTTGGTTTAACTTAATTCTTATTTTTATAGACATTTTAATTCATATTAAAGAAACATATAAATGCCATAGACAATTTAATTCAAAATTTGATCTAGTTTAATACACACACAAACACACACACGTGTCCCTGTATCTGCCTTTTGCAAATTAGTTATGTCCCGCGTCCATGTCTGTGTCCATGTCCACACCACCAGTATCCGTGCAACTTAGTGTAAGCTCCTAAAAAGTGGGAAGTAACCATAATTAGTTTCTTTTGTATGAATATCCAAGCAATCCAATGGTTAAAAAACTGATAGTGGAAACATTTTGCTGCTACCTATAGTAGACCAGCTGCAATATACGTGAGTATATGCACGCATATGCGTGGATGACCGTAGGTGGGTATGCGCTCACATGCACACATGTGGGGACGTGCAGGTATCAGTGTGCATGTGTTATTGTAAGACAAACTTACTATGTGATTGTGTTTGGTGCTTAGAAATTAGAGGACAGACAGAGAATAACTTGACTTACAGTTTAAAGCACATTGCTCTGGTGACCAGATTTCCTTGGCATAAGAACATTGGTCTCTTCCATTGAGCTGGGGCATCACCAAGGATTTTAGATTGTTCAAAACTACGAAAACTACAGTTATTAGCTAGAAATATGACTTTACGCCAATAGGATCATAGCTTAGAAATTAGAAGACAGACAAAGAGGATAACTCAACTTACAGTTTAGAGCACATTGCTCTGGTGACCACATTTCTTTAGCATAAGAACATTGGTCTCTTCCATTGAGCTGGGGCATCACCAAGGATTCTAGATAGTTCTAAACTATGAAAACTAGAGCTGTTAGCTAGAAACATGACTTTACGCCATAGAGGATAGGATCACGTGAACTCATACTTCTTCATAGAATCAAGGCTTCTCCATCAGACAGTTTGACTGATCTTTTGATTTAATACTCCAGACCATCTGACCTGCAATAACAAAATTCCAACAACTTATTGGTTGAACTGTAATTTAGTCTTGGCAATAGTGCTTTCAAACAAGTCACAATAATAATGATAATAATAAGTAATGCCAGCAGCGATATAAATTGCCTAATAAGGATGCATGGCATGCTTGTGAGGAACGATCTCACATTCACATCAGAGTTCATATGGCGATACTGACTGGTATCCACAGTGAAAGTAGCTGAAGCCAAGTGGATTATTCCATAAATGTTAATACAAGCAATACCGCTTTCTCATCCTAAAGAAACCAAGACCTCTTGTGGGTACACTTCTTGTGCCATTTGTTTGTCTTTATAACTGACATGTTTCCAATTCTGACTGCCGTTATATTCTCTAAACAACATAAAGCAGTCAAATCATCTGTCTACAAATGTTTTACCACTTTGTACATAAATATTGAAAAGGTTGGATGGCATTATTTACAAGCTATTCCATATATATGAGGGCTTATCAGGGAGGTTCTTGATAAGAATATTGACTTAAGGTTCACACTTGAGAATCCAACGTCAGAAATATGTCTTCCTGTTTCACGGGTAAGGTGGCATCCATCAGCAACAAACTGTTGAAGTGGATCGAGAAAGTTTTGCATGAGGCGGAGGAGGGATCCGTCTGAATAAAAAACCCATATCAAAATGAATCCATAGTAGACTTAGCTTGTCCTTTCTCACAAAGAAATGTAATTAGGAGGTTTGACTTGGAAACTAGAAGAGGAAGTACCACTTGCAGCAACATGTTCAATGAACAAGTAAATACCCCCCGGCTTTAACACCCTTCTCACTTCTGCATGGTTTAAGATAATATTTATATAACATAAGACAGATATTAGCATAAAATCAACTGCAATTAAATACAATATCGCACATTTCAAGAATCAAAAGTTATCAACTTTGCATTGGCTAGGACCATAAAATTAGATAGGGGATTATTTATGTTAGACATGGGTCATTCTACAATACAAATCACAGTTTTAATTGTTTGAAGTAACATCAAAAGGGAATATTCAGCATATAAACCTATGAGTTCAGCTAGGGATATGCTTCGGGGTTCATCCTTTCTCAAAAAGAAGAAAAAGAAAAACAACTACTGGAACTAAATAGCAACTCAGAAGGCTCTCATCAGTACTAGATTTCAACAACAGGTTATAAAGATGATTGGTTCTACTAGTTAGGGGGGGCTGCCTGATTTAAGTCACATGAGGTTCAAGATATATTGCAATTGATATAAAAAGGATCTAACTTTATGACTAATTACAATCCAGAGTGATTAACGTAATTCGGTAATTGTCAGAAAAAACAACTATAAGCATTAAGCATACTAAACAAGCAACAAGTCCAGCACTCTGGTCGTATGTAAGAACCTGACTTCCCGTTAGTTATAACGCCAAACCAAGTCTCTTAAGTGATCTTTTATAACCTGGATGATTTATTCCCACCAATAATCAATGCAACACCAGCAATAGCAAAACTTTCTACCACTGAGTACCTCCAGCAAATGATGCTCTTCCTCATTTTCGCACATTAATTGCCGAAGTCTATTATGCAATACACAAGACCAAAAGGGCATGTTGTTGCATGTTGACTGAAGAAGAAAGTATCATGAAGTGGATTGTAGGTCCAGAGCAACCTCTTTGATAAAACATCATTTGGCAACTTGAATCTAAGGAAAAGAAAAGGTCATTTAAGGTACCTTTCAAAGATATATCAACATCTTTCACTGAACACAGTACAAGAGTACCAATAACTGCATCCATGGAATTATCACCAATAGGCAAGGCTTCTCCAACCTATAAAGAAACAGCAATTTACTAAATCTAAAAGGAATCAAATGCATACACGTATCAATTCATCAAAACTGTCATTAATTAGCATCATATATGTCGTAAAGGAATGAAATATAATCCAATCACATTTGCAGACTGTTGAATTACAAATTATACCAAATGAGTTATCATCAACTTGATATAAAAAAAATTCATCAACTGAAAAACTAAGGCTCAAAGAGTGAGCATCCAAGTCAAATCAAGAAGAACAATTTGTGTGTGTATGTGTGTGTGAGGGGGTGAGAGAGAGATAAATCTGCTTGGTACCAAGCACAAACTTGGTGCTCAGTAATGAGATGGCTCATTCTCATCCACTCATACAAATGGTCACCACTTCGGAATAACCATCCCTTAGTTATTCTAACCATGTGCACCCAAGTGAACGTGGTCCCCCTTTTTAAATAAGTGGATGGGAATGAGACACCTCATTACCCAGCACCAAGTTTGTGTATATATAGTGTGAAGTTATGTATGAAATTTATCAAAATGACCAGATTTGTCATATCTTTAACAATGTTAGCAGTGTATCCCCATTAATATTTAGTGAGCATTCATTATATATTGTGAAGTTTATGTATGACATTTATCAAGATGACCAGACTTGTCATATCTTTAACAATGTTAGCAGTGTATCCCCATTAAGATTAGGAAGCATTCAGTGCCACTAGAAGCTCAAACTTCATGAAGTTGAAACTTCATGCACTTCAATCAGTGTGTGCATGTGCATGCATGTGCGCATGTGTCCCAATTAATATTAGTGAGCATTCAGAGCAACTAGAAGTTCGAACTTCATGCAGTTCAATCAGCATGCATGGGTGGGTGGGTGGGTGGCTGGGTGGGGCGCTGGTAACTATTGAATATTTGAATTAGGTCTAGTTAGCAGCCATTTACTTTCAAGGTTCTATGCTCTATGGTGAGTCATATCTGACTCTTTGTTCCATGGATATGAATTTAGCACATCTTATAGAAGAGGGCCTTTAAGTGACCGTCACACACAAACCTAGTAAATTATTTTCTGTAGGTCTCTTGACTTTGAGTTGGTTCCATGATTGACATGTCCTAATAAGGAAAGGACTTAGATAATGATGGTGATAATGATGACCTAGGAAAATTGGCCAACCAAAAATCAGGGGAAAGAGGGTCATACTTGCTTAAAAGAAATAATATTGGGCACTGAAATAGCTTCAAACATTTAGTGAGTGCATCTGCAAACATAAGCTCATGGAGCAACAGAATGAATGGCGGAAATGACATGTAACTGCGATTTCCTTGATTATGAATCGATGACAGTACCCCTCGGATAAATGTAAAATTTGTTGGTGGCAATCCAGCAGCTACTGCTGCTGCTCGTGCGTGTTTCTCCATCTTTTTATTAGGGTCTACCCCGATAACATTGAAATCAGCAGCACTCGCATAGTACTTGAAATTAGCACCAGTACCTACGCCAAGCTCTACAATGTTCTTACTCTTCCCTGAAACTGCAAGACGGCCAAAGAGTTCTTTTTTGTAACCTGCAATCTTCATAAAGTAGATATGAAGATGTCAAGCGACCATGGGAAAGAGAATATCAAATGGCATTGGGAACAATAAAAGCAACATTTAGATAATATATTGATATAGTGCAACTAAAAGCAGAAAATAGATAAGGATAAGGCTCACTGATTTAGAGGTTCAGTATTTTGGAGAAGACACTGACTGCAGATAACTGTAGAGAAAACGTCTAACGTTTGTGTATTGGATTCAGTAAGTAGGAATACTTACTAAGATCACATGAACATGGTGACAGGTGTAAATTATTTCATATTTGGATTCAGATGAATGCCATAAAGAAAATGACAAAGTGGTACCTCAGCTTCATAGGAGATCATTCCCATATCGGTGGCCTGTGCATAGAATTCCTCATACCAGTCTGCTTTTGGAGGATAAAACTTGTCGATCACACACTACATTACAAAAGAGCATTAACATTATTATCATCATCACCATTTCTATTATTACTACTATTTAAGTAGTTATTTTTATTTGTATTGTTACGGTACTACTACTATTACCACCATCATCAACACCACCGCCGCCACTACTATTATCATCATCATTACACATTAGTTTTGTAGGCAGTAAGGCCTTAGCAAGTTATTGAAGAATGATAATTGAAGTAGATAATGCTGGCATTTGGCCTTGTACTGAAGCCTGAAAGGTATCGGGAGAATAATAAACAGAGCAGATCAGAGAACGGTGGAGGATAAGGCAGTAGACCAGTTGGTCGGGCCGACCAGGTCGATAGACCGGCAGGTCAGTCCGCTCGGACCGCTAGGAGCGATCTGGGGCTGATTTGTTTATTATAAATTATGTTCGAGTTAGAAGTCCCGTTTCGTATTGTATTCGGGTTTGACCCTGTAAATACAGGTCTTCTAGATCTACGGTTAGTATGAGTGCCAAAAGAAAGTTGTATATTGTATAAGAGCTGTGAAGAGGAAACAGAAGAGAGAAATCTAGAGTTTGCGAAGATCTTTAGGTGAGTGAGATTGAGGGAGGTTTAGGAAGAAGAAAGACTCTCTATGTTAACAATTCGGTTCCGGTACCAATTCGGTTGGATTCGATTGACTCAAAAAAGGGCTATAACCCAATTCGAGTCATGAATCCAAGCATATTTAACCATATGTCCCGATCAAATTGTTTTTCCGCTAGAAGACTATACCCCCATCTCAAATTTTCGCTATAGCAACCGCCCTCCCCCCCCCCCCCCGCCTCGTTTATATTCTGAGTCCTACTCAATACTCAATCCCAAAAACATATGACTGACGAAAATAGTGTCTCGACTTAAAACACTTTGCAGACAAACAAAAATCGGAGCGCTACGAAGTGCGAGAGCATGTGAACACCCAACATGGGTCAGATACTAGAATCTTCGTTAATTAATCTTGATAACAACATACACACCGTAAACTCAAGCGATTAGAAAGCACTGGAGCTGAGTTGAGTCCGCATACCGTGGGGATATGAGAGGGTGAGCTCGTAATTTCCGCTGCCTGGGAACTGGAGGGAAGAATGGGGAGCAGGAGGCTCGCTGCCAAGAGATGCCTCCTCCCGCACGAGCAGTACCGAAGCGGATCGGATTGAGAGATGGATCGGGTTCGGGTTTGAATCCGAGTCCGGGTCAGGGTTAGGGTTTGGGTTTTGGTAGTAGTGGAGACGGTGGCGAGCAAGTTCAAGGGAGGAGGAGAACAGGAGGAGGAGGCAAGCATGGCGTTCCTTCACGGAGGAGCTGCGCTAATCTGGACCGTCCAAGGTGCGTTCTAGTACATCAGAACATCTACTTGCGCTCTCCCCGGGTTAATTTTACATAACCCCCTGAACTCTGACCTTCTCTCACCCGACCCCCTGCTTGAATTTTGCCAATATCCTTGAGAAAGAGAGGAAAAAAGATTTCAAACTTTATCATTGCCATTTATGGGTGACACACGCCCTCCCCTAAATTTTAGGGGTTTTTTTACCCTTTTAAGAAAATTTTAGCAATTTATAAATTACATATAAAGGGCTTCGGTGGTGTTATGTGAGGCACCCCAAATATCAGCAGCGTTATGTGAGGTAAACGAAGTTCTGAAAGTTAAGTTGTAGCACCTCCTAAAGTTTAAGGGGTTTGGTGAATTTAACTATTTCTTTAGAATTTGTTAGTAAGATTAATATTTTACTTTGCGGCTGTTTGGATAAGATGCTAATGATGGGTGGAAACTGAAGAATTTGGATCCTCTTCACTACAAAAAAAGTAATGAAGAGACCACTGCTTTTAATCTCAACCGTCGATTATCTAGTTTGTGACTGTGATACATTCTAAATTCAATACTTATCGTATCTCGTATATTGTATTTATTCCTAATTTGCATTCAAATAAAAAATTATAACTGCCTACTAGATAACAAATGATTATAATTAAATAGGGGAGAGGATCTGAATCCTTTTTAGGTATCACTTCTAGAAATGAATTCTATTTTCTTGTTTGGTTGAATAATTTATTTGGTCCAAAAAAATGCAACCTAATTTCTAAAAGTGAGTCTCAAGTTCGTCTTTCGTGTTTGACTTTTAGTTTTAGGGGTTGTTTGGTTGATTTCCCATAAAAGGAGAAATTTTGAATTCCAAAAAAAAAGCCATAAACTCCTATGATCATATCAAACTTCCAATCCATTTCTGAACAAACTTGGAAATGATTTTTTGTTTTCATTTTATGTATTTTTTTGTCAGTTTTAGAGAGATTTTTTTAAATGTTGTCAACCAAACAACAGAAATGAAAATGTGAATTTCCTATGATGGAGTGGTGTTTCCTAAAACTCGTTTTCTAGGTTTCCATGCGTACTATATGACTCTTAGCAATTTGCAAGAAACATATCACTCTTTTTAGATAAAGAAGAATAGGAAAGAAGGAAAGGTAGGAAAACAAATTCACGGTGTTTATGGAGTTTTGAAGAGGAGAAGCGCTCCCCTTCATCCCTAAAATTCTCTTACAATCAATAGAACTTTTTGTTCATCCCTGAATTGGAGTGATATTGTAGAGAAGAGAATTTTCTTACATTCTCATCTCTTCTATCTTGTATCTTCTTTAACCTTTTCTTATCACAATGAAAATGCCAAACATAGTGGAGTGTGCTACTCTCCCACTAAACGTAATTGATCTTATTTGGTAATCTAATAGCAGCTAAATTCTTATTTGGTAAAAGTTGGATTTAGAACTAAACAAATTTTTTTGGTTCAAAACTTGGCCCTTAAAAAGTTTTGTTTTGCAGAAGGTTATCAGAAACTATTTTAATTTAGGACAAGACTAACTTAACCTAGTTATTGCTAAAATTATATTTAGTAAAAATTGCGGCAGAACTAATTGTCTCTTAAATGGATTTAGTTTTTGACTGAGAAGAGGTTGTCCAGAAATAAAATGGTCTAGACCACAAATCCGTTTAAAAGGGCAGTTGCCAAACTAAACCTTAATAATAAAAAAATAAAGACAAATGCTCTATTTGATATGAGATCTGTTTTCTTTTTTTAAGGAAAATGATGTCTCTTAATTTAAATAAAAGTTGAGAAAAAGAAGTTCCCATATTAAAATTTGGATTAAGGTTTTTTTTCATCAATTAAATAGTTCAAATATTTCCAAAAAAAATAGTAGTAAATTTTGCTTTTGCTAAACATAAAACTAATTCCTTGTGTTCAATATTTAGCACTATTTTTTTTAATTAATTTACCTTATAAGGTAGACCATAGTAATAAATATGGTTCGGAGTTACTCGCATCCAAATAGTTAAATGTTGTTTTTCCCATCGCTTTAGATCTAGCTAAAATATGGGCTTCGATATACCAAATAGTTAAATATTGTTTTGTCACGCAGGTTGGGGATGTTCCCTCAATTCATCACCCAAGGCCATGAAAGTTAGATCAAATCCTTGGTATATCAGTTCCAATCGCTTAGAGCCATACCTGGGGTGATTCAGGTCATAAGATTGGGTGTTGATGTACCCAGGAGGTAAGCTTATATATCCAATGGTGACCCTATGGCCGATTGATTAATCCGGGGCCTCTTGGGTGGCAGTTGCCTGCCCATTGTGGTGTAGGCCCTTACTCGCGTTCTAGTCAGGCCGAGTTGAGTTTTCATTAGTTGTTTGAATGTGGAGGCAAAATTGGTTAGATTGGACTAGTGCATTAGCAGCATTTTGATCGTCTACCTACTCTTGTTGTTAAAGTCTAGGATCCTCCTTGTGAGTCAGTGCCACATCGAAAGGCCTTCTTGATATGTTCCTCAAAAATTGTAGTGACGATGGTCACCACCTTGTCCAGTTGTGTTTAGAACAACGCTTCCCAAGAGCTTACATAAGGGTTGGATGATTTTCCATGGATATCTACTCCTCCGTCAGACAACATTCAAAGTCAATCAAAGCAAGGCCCCATGATGAGTACTAAATATTAAAAACCTGCTAGATTGAGTTCGCAAAATTAGACTCGTCGTTGAGGATCTGGCGATCTCCTTTGATGCGTGCTAAGGTTGAGATTTATGCATAGAAAGAATGTCGGATTGATGACGGTAAGGCTATCCATCAACACCCCTTTGATGCTTAAGTAAGACTCTTGATGATAAATATCAAAACAATAGGTATGTAAGTTAAGGGTTTTGAAGAGAATTTCTATAGACCAAGGTTAGTGATATCAAGCCGAGGTCAAGATGAGCCATCCCTTTACCTGTACGTAGGGTGGCATATTTATATTAACTGCCTAGGAAGATCAGGTAGTATACATGTCACTGTCCTGACATCTGATGTAGTTATCGTAGTTATTTAGTCTATAAATAAATCTATGTGGCGGGACCACATAGGCGTAGGATGATACAACAATGTATGTGTAGATCAGGGAAGTTTTGAAAGTTGGAAATTAGGAATATTACTTACTCGATTGATATCTCTTAACATCGTATGTTGAGGATATGACGCGATTCGAATCAATCATTGCTAACCAGGCACTTCGCCATAAAACCAAGCCACGTTGGAATGAGGAATAGTAACCTAACTGAGGCGAGTTCAGTTATTATAGATACCTATCACTTTATTTAGGCTTTTAGGTTAGGTCCAAAGGACTTGGTTTGGTTATAAGCTGAGTGTGGATGTCCCACACTTTAGTCGAGTTAAGTGGTTACCTGGTTGACGGAGTTAACTTATCATTGCAAGGTAATCTGGCTTGCCCCCAAGTGTAAAATTTGGGTTATATGGATAGCCAACGTATTCACTGTTAAATATGTTTCGATTCACGACTTGAGAAGTAAATCAATTTAAGTCAATTGTATAAAGTGGTTTAACTAACTCTATATCTGGTCATTGACTTTAGCACCTCAACAAATTTACTGTTGAGGACCTGTTTGGTTGCCCAAAAAAATCAAGGAAAACAATTATGAGAAACCTATTTTTTATTGTGGTTTCTTTTTCTCTATTTTGTTCACACCTAAATATCAAGAAAAGAAGTAAAGTGAAACATTCTTATTGGGTGATTTGATCAAAAGTTTAGGAAACCCATTTCATGGGTTTCTTTGAAGAGATGAGTGAAAACAATCAAAAGTGGTTCCCCACGCCACATTTCCCCAAGTATCTTTTTCCTTTGGTCTTGAACAAACTAACCAACACATTCCCTATTCTATGTACAGTGCAGTTTTAAATGCAACTAAAAATTTGGCATGTGCAAATGCATGTGATAGAAAAACATGTTATTTTTGTATATTTTTATTTTATTAAATATGTAAAATTATTTTGTTTTGTTTAAATGTTCATTAGTCGTAGATATATGTAAATGAACTTGGCTCTTTTTCGTTTACTTAAAATTGATATTTTAAAAACATTATCATTTTCTCTTTGTGCATTTTATAATTAATAAAATATAATGCATATAGGTGCTTCAATCTTATTTGATGCCATTAAATCACCTAGAATGTTCTTGAAGAAGAAAAGAGGAAAGAAAGTGAAGAAATTACAGAAACTCAGAAGAATCAGGCAAACCAGGCGGCGGTCGACCGGTCCGGTCGACCGCATTCGTGTACAAAGCTTACTGTGCGTCAGGAAGGTGGTCGGTCGACCGGTGCGGTCGACCGAGGGGTTCTCTGGAGTTTTGGGTTTTCTACTGGGAGCTGGTCGGTCGACCGGGCCGGTCGACCGGAATTGATCGTGGTCGACCGTGCCGGTCGACCGACGAAGCGGGTTTCAGTTGGTTCAGGTTTCCAGACCCGTTTCGCTTGGGAGTTGTATAAATACCCTAAACTCGTTTTTAGGGTTAGAGTTTGGGCGATTTTGAGCTGAGCAAAGGGAGATTTGAGGGCTTCTATTGTTGGAGTCTATTTGAGAGATCTTTTGGTCTTATTTGAGGGTTTTGGGTAAGATTTGTAACCCTAACTTGTACTCCCCTTTGATTTGAATAGTAAAGCTTCCCTCTCCTTGCCCCGTGGACGTAGGCATATTGCCGAACCACGTATATCTTGTGTTTGTGCTGTGATTGGTTGGCTTGCATTGGTTTGTGGTCTACTATTGTCTTGTGTGTGCCTTCGATTTGTCAATTTAGCTTCTTTATTTTTTGAGGTAAAAATAAAGCAAAGCACCAATGTATATTAAACTTCGAAACATACAAAGCAATCGATAGGAGAACAAAATTTCTAAGCCTATAGAAGACCTTACGTCAAGAAGAGTTCTGTGAGGGTGAGGAAAGTAGATAGTCGCCACTCATCACAAGCACAATACAACCTAATTGACAATCCACTAAATAGAAAACCACGTAGAAATTAGACTTCTCCTGCAGCCCC